CTGCCTCAGCCTCCTTAGGACTGGGATCACAGGAACACACCACCCCCACCCCCCTTGCTTGATTTTTCATTCTTAATCTGTCATTTTATAATGGTAGAGGAGAGAACACTATTTGGTTTGGGGGCGTTATTTTCTCCTAAATAGTAGTCATCAGTTATGAACATCAGAATCACACAGGGAGTTTTTAAAACTACTGATGCCAGATCCTACTCTTAGAACAGTTAAATCATAACTTCTGAGAATAATGCCCAGGTGTGAATATTTTTAAAAAGCAATGATGACTTGAAGTTGTAACTAGATTTAAGAATCACTGCTGCAGCTGGGCACGGTGGCACACGCCTGTAATTTGAGGCCAAGTCAGGAGGATCGCTGTGAGTTCATTGCTCGCAAGAATCATTGCTGCAGGGACCAGGAATGTGGGCTCAGCCTGGCTGCTACTTCCTGGGAAGCACAAGGTTCAGAGTTCGATCCCTGGTACCAGAAAGAAATTAATAACTGTTGCGGACATTTGATACTGAAAGTGTGTGATCTGGAAACCAGTAATCTTGGTTCTACTTGGGAGCTTGTTAGAAATATATCAGGGTGCTATATTCTTTCAGTATTCCACTTTCAAAATGTAGAATGTACTTTCTTTTTTTACTTTTACTTGGGCCAAACTCACTTTGCAGAGCCTGTTTCTTTTCCTACCTTTAATAAATGTAAAACCTACTACCATTACAAAAAAAGAAATACTTCACCTGCAAACCCTTTATTTATTTAATTTTGTGGGGGTACAGGGATTGAACTCAGAACCTTTCACTTATTAGGCGGGTGGTGGCAGGACTGCAAACCTTTTTAAAAAATTAATTTTATTGGTACACTTTCGACATCTATAATGATCACATTCATCATAGGGAATTTGTACCTGTACATAATATATCATAGTTCTTTTTTTTCCCCATTCTCCTCCCTTCTCTTTAGTCCTTCTTCCCCTCTCCATTTATAAAACTTTGTTTTTATTATTTTCCTTCTTTATCCCTATCCCCTTTTTCCCTCCTTCCTTCTTTGTTCAACTTTCCACATGAACATTTTCTTCCTATTTCCCAACATCTGCATTCCTTTTTTGGTCTTTATTTATATTTACCGTTTGGATTTCTCACGTAAGAGAAACAATGCAATACTTAAATGTGTGCCCAATTTATTTCACTTGAAATTGTTCTCATTGAGCATCCATTTAGTTAAAAATATCTCAGATTAATTTTTTTTTTATTTTGTTTTCTTTGAGACAGGGTCTCACCAAGTACCCAAGGCTGGCCTTGAACTCACTATGTAGCCTAGGCTGGCCTTGAGTGCACATTGATCCTCCTGCCTCAGCCTCCCGAGTGCTGGAATTACAAGTGTGTACCATCACACCTAGCAAATTTATCCTTCTTTATGGCAGAGTAGTATTCTGTTGTATATAAAAACCACATTTTCAGTCAGGCATAGTGGTACACACCTGTAATCCCAACACTTGGAAGGATAAGGCAGGGAGGATATCTCTTGAATTCCAGGCCAGTTTAGAGTACATAGTGAGTTCAAGACCAGTGTGGATTACACAGTGAGACCATTTCAAAAACACCAAAATAAGGCCGGGTGTAGTGGCACATGCCTGTAATCCTAGCACTTGGGAGGCTGAGGCAGGAGGATCACTGTGAGTGCGAGACCATCCTGGGCTACATAGTGAGTTCCAGGTCAGTCTCAAGTACATCGTGAGACCCTGTCTTAAAAAAACCAAAGGAAAAAAAAAAACAACAAACAAAAAAACCCCACCAAAATAAAAACCAGACAAAACCCCCATATTTTCTTTATCCATTCATGCATTGATGGACATATGAAATATTTCCAAGATTTAGCTATTACAAATTGTGCTGCTCTAAATATGGGTGTGTATATATCACTGTGGGATGATGCCATGGCTTGCTTGGTTGAAGGGTCTACCTACAGAGTGAAAATGCCAGGGGCTTAAGAAAAAACAAAGAGATACAAAAGCAAAGCTGGGGCCAGGTGGAGCCTCACTCCTGATGGGAGAAAAGGTCTGCCAGGCAACTGCAGCGTGTTTGTTTATAATGGTAGCGATAAGGGTAGTGCAGGGGGAGGTAAAGGTCTGTAATAGGATCCTGGAGAGTAGCTAAGGTCTGCAGAACATCATGCTTTGGTGGTTTTATGGGGAGAATGGACAGGGAGGAAGGCATGTCATGTTCCATGTTCTTGTTCCACACGGGGCCCTGCCTCATCTGTGGGAAGTGGTGAGTTAGGCTTGGCCTTAGTGAACTACAGCACAGCACTCCCAGCAGTGTGATGCTTTTAACTTTTTTTTTTTCTTTTTTGTATTATGGATCAAACTCAGGACCTTGTGCTTGTGAAGCAGGTGGGACACCCCTGAGCCTAAATCCCTATTGGGAAGATACCTGGAGGGGGAATAGCTGGGTCAAATGGAACCTCTAGTTTTAGTGTTTTGAGGACTCTGCATTCTAGTTATACCAATTTACACTCCCAACAACAGTAGAGAAGGTTTCCTTTTTCCCCATAGCCTTGCTAGCATTTGTTATTGAATTTTTTTTTAATTGGTTGAATTCTTTTTTTCTTTTTTTGGCGGGGGGGTACTGGGGATTGAACTGGATCCTTGTGCTTGCAAGGCAGGCCACTGAACCACTGAGCTAATTCCCCGGCCCAAATTGGTTGAATTCTTGATGATAGCCATTCTTTCTGGAGATAGAATCTCATTTTAATTTACATTTCTTAAATGATCAGTGATGTTGAATGTTTTTTCATATATTTATTTGCTGTTTGTACTTCATTTGAGAACTGTCAGTTTATTTCAGATGACCATTTTTGGATTGGTTTTTAAGTTTAGGGGGATCTGGTAGATGGTTTGTGGTTTTTTGTTTGTTTGTTTTTGTTTTTGTTTTTTGTTTTTTGTACTGGGGATTGAACTTGGGACCTTGTGCTTATGAGGCAGGCAGGCAGCAGAACCACTGAGCTGAATCCCTGGCTCAAGGGATCTGGTTGTTTTGAGTTCTTTATATAGTCTAGATATTAGTACTTTTTCTGAAAAATAGCTGGTAAAAATTATTTCTCATTCTGTCTCTTCAATCTGTTGGTAGTTACTTTTGCTATACAAAAGCTTTAAAATATGATGAGATCTCAATTGCTAATTCTTTGTAATATTGGGCCGGGTGTGGTAGCGCATGCCTGTAATCCCAGCACTCGGGAGGCTGAGGCAGGAGGATCGCTGTGAGTTCGAGACCATTCTGGGCTACATAGTGAGTTCCAGGTCAGTCTCAACTACATAGTGAGACCCTGTATCTAATCCCCCCCAAAAAAAACAATTTCTTTGTAATATTTCCTGTCCAATCTGGGTTTTGTTCCTAAAGTCTTTGCCTACACCTATGTCTTCAAGAGTTCTACCTGTTTTATCTCCTAGCAGATTAAGTATTTCTGTTTTAATATTTAGATCTTTTGTTTTGTTTTGTTTTTGTTGAGGCGTTCACCCCATTTAGCTCAGGTTGGCCTTGAATTTATTATATTGTTCAGGTTGGCCTTGAACTCAGTAGCAGTCCTCCTGCCTCAATGTCCCAAGTGCTGGGGTTACAGGCATGAGCTACCATGCCTGGCTTAATATTTAGATCTTTGATCCATTTCAGTTTTAGTTTTTTACATGATGAGAGATATGGGTCTAACTTTAATCTTTGGCATGTGTAAAGCCAATTTTTCCAGCACCATTTATTAAAGAGGCTATTTTTCTTGTAGTGAATTTGACCCCATTGTCAAAGATAAGGTGCCTGAGTATTTTTGGATTTGTTTCTACATCTTCTAATGTGTTGCATTGATCCTCTGGCCAATACTATGCTTTTTTTTTTTTTTGGTTTTTGAGACAGGGTCTCACTATGTAGTTGAGACTGACCTGGAACTCACTATGTAGCCCATGCTGGTCTCGAAGTCACAGCGATCCTCCTGCCTCAGTCTCTGAGTGCTGGGACTACAGGTGTGCACCACCACGCCCAGAGCCATGCTGTTTTTTATCGTGGTAACTGTGTAGTGTAATTTCAAGTCGGGGATGCCCCTGCTTTGCCTTCATTGTCCAGAATTGCTTTTGCTATTCTAGTTCTCTTCTGGTTCTGTATGAATTTTAGGGTTGCTTTCTCTAGTTTTATGAGGTATGCTATTGATATTTTGACTAGGATTTCATTACATTTGCATAACAGTTTTGGAAGTATTGCCATTTTCACTATGTTGGTTTTGCCTATCCAAGAACAAGGGTTATCTTTCCATTTTCTGATATCCTCTTCAGTCTCCTCTTTCAGAGTTTGTATTTTTCAGTGTAAAGTTCTTTTACTTCCTTCATTTGATTGATTCCTAAGTATTTAATTTTCCTTTTTTTTAATATTTTAATCTCGTTTTTATTGATGCTATTCTAAAAGATGTTGTTTCTCTAATTTCTCTCTCAGTGAGTTTGATATTTGTGTATGGAATGCTGATGATTTTGAATGTTGAATTGCTATCCTGTTGTAGTACTGAATTTGGTTAATATAAATCTTAAATCTAGGATCTTTTGACCACCTTCAGGCCTTTTTAATCAGGCTCTGCATTTAATAAATTTCCCAAGTAAGTTTGCCCTTTGAAGTTTGAGGAGGAGTTCATTGAGCCAGTGATGGATGACATTGGAGTTCCCATTTTAATTGGAGAGTTTATAAAGTCTGATACCTGAGCTCTCTCCTAGTGAGACATTGCAACCCCAGGTATTGATACTTTTAAATAAGTCAGAAGTCCATCTAAGGATGAGAAGCACTGTACTCTTCAAGTATGTAGAGAGCTACCTTTACTGTCCTTGGAATTCAAGAATCCCAAAGCTTCTGCAAAGGACAGCAAGAAGAGATTTTTAAAAATATTAAATGAACCATAAGTAATTTTTTTCTGAGAATTTTACCAGTGGACCTAATGCAAACAATATTGACTCATTCTGATGTTTTCTTTCATAGGCTCAGACTGTCCAAGTTGCTGAAGTTGAACCACAGTCACAGCCACAGCCTTCCCCAGAACTTCTGCTTCCAAATTCTTTGAAGCCAGAAGAAGGGCTTGAAGTATGGAAAAACTGGGCCCAGACTAAGAATGCTGAACTAGAGAAGGATGCTCAGAACAGATTGGCACCCATTGGGAGTAAGTGTTGGGAGGGGCTAAGAGATGAGATGTGTCCAGTGTCAATAGCAGGAGGACAGAATGACAAGAAGCTGGTAGTCCCTGGCTGGAGGACCTAGAGAGAGCACTATCTGAAATGCTAAGCTGCATCATGACCAGCAGTAAGCAAGCTGGGCCCTGAACTGAAGACAGAGTGGCTTCTGGGAGGAAATAAGTAACAGTGAATGTATTCAAAGCCCTTCTTTGGCATTAGACTCATAAACTTGCTTATATTATACAAAGTGGATTCTGATTTTTTTTCTGCTTTCATTTCTTGGCCCTAATAGTAATTTCTGAGATGCTATATGTGAGATAAGGAAGGAAAAGTAAACCCTTGGTGTAATAGCATATGTGATTAATGACATAGCCAGTTCTGATTATAGACGGAAATGACCATTCTTCTCCCAACACCCTGGGCTATATCTGCTCTTAAGCTCTCCTTTCAGGAATATTATTAGCCAATAAGGAGACAACTGTGGCCAGGTTCCCTAATCACCTTTGGGAATTGTGTCACAGGGCGCCAACTGCTGCGATTCCAAGAAGATCTCATCTCCTCTGCTGTGGCTGAGTTGAATTATGGGCTGTGTCTAATGACCCGGGAAGCTCGAAATGGAGAAGGTGAACCCTATGACCCTGACGTGCTCTACTATATTTTCCTGTGTATTCAGAAGGTAGGAATCAGATTATCACAGGAACATGTATGAGCTATGTTCCCATTAGGTGTTGCTGATTAGTCAGCTTAGTTCATTGACAAGTGGTGAAAATAAAATTTTCTTTGAGCTAATAATGTGCTTTAGAATAGACATTTCATTTTTATTTGCGAAGATCTTCATGTTCATTTCAGAACATAAAATAGGCAAGTATTATCTTAACATTTAGAGAAACTTTTGTTAAAATATTTGATCATTACCTTAATAGATTTTTGTTTTAATCACAAAGTGTTCACTTCTTTTTGTTAAAGTATACATAGAATTAATAATAAAATCTTAATAGATTTTTGTTTTAATCACAAAGTGTTCACTTCTTTTTGTTAAAGTATACATAGAATTTTCATTAAAAAGGCAATTTAGGGCCAGGAATTTAGCTCAGTGGTTCCAATGCTTACCTTGCAAGTGTAAGGACCCAAGTTCTATCCCTGGTACCAAGAAAAAAGAAAGGCAATTTATCCACCAGGTGTTATGAAACATACCTATAATCCCAGCACTCTGGTAGGCTGAGTCCGCAAGGTTGCAAGTTCAAGCCCAGCCTGAGCAATTTAACCAATTTAGTGTGACCTTGTCTCAAAAGATAAAAACAGGCTGGGTGTGGTGGCGCATACCTATAATCACAGCATTCAGGAGGCTGAGGCAGAAAGGAGGTTGGCTGCAATTTTGAGGCCAGCCTGGGCTACATAATAAGTTGAAGGACAGTCTGAACTACATAGTGAAACCCTGTCTCCAAAAAAAATACTGGAGATAGAATTTCAGTGGGAAAGTCCTGGGTTCAGTTTCCAATGCTAAGGTGAGGAGGGGGTGGTATTTATGCAAAAGTATTTGGCCAGGTATGGTGGTGCATGCCTGTAATTCCAGCACTTGGGAGTTGAGGCAGGAGGATTGTCAAGATTTCAAGGCCAGCCTGAGCTACATAGCAAGACCCTGTCTCAAAAAAAGAAAACAAAACCCCAAAAATGTTTGATGCTAGCACAGATTTTCTTCTCATTTTTCCCTATAACAAAACAGTTATTTGAAGAAGTCTGGCTAGGGTTAAATACAAAAATATAGTTAGGTTTTCAGGACCACTGTGGTAAAAATGTCATAATAGAGAAACTTGTAGAGTATCAGCTTTGAGAAACAGATGTGGATTTCTTGGTATTTGAAGGCCCTTGGAGAGAACCCCACAGTATGAGGGCTTACTGGTTGGGACTCTTGCCTAGTGTGAAAAAAGTCTGCCTCCTAGTTTGTTCCTCTTTTTTTTTTTTTTTTGGTACCGGGGATTGAACTCGGGTCCTTGCTCTTGCAAGGCAGGCCACGGAACCACTGAGCTAAATCCCTGGCCTTTACTTGTTCCTCTTTTTTTCTGATCCTTACCCAGGCACATGTGAATGATTTCTCATGCTGTGTCATGATCTAGTCTTTCCCCAGTCCTAGAAGACAGAATCATCTCTATTTACTGACAAGGAAACCAAGCCCCCGAAGTTAGAAGACATCCATATGTTGTTAATTTACACAATATCTTATAAGAGACTGGCCCTTAAGCTTACTCATCATTTTTTCCTGCCATAAAACAGTGCCTTGCTTGACTGAAATACATTCACTAAAGTAGCATTCAAGAGCTGGTGATGTAGTGCAGTGGTATTTTCTTAGCATTGCTTGCATGGATTGAATTTCCAGTTCTGCAAAAATTTTTATTTAGAAAATCCACCCAGAAACAGGCAGGGTAGTGTGCACCAGTAACTCTAGCACTCAGAAAGACTGAGGCAGGGATTACACATTCAAGCCCAACCTTAGCAATTTATTGAGGCCCTGTCTCCTGAAAAGGCTGATGATATAGCTTGGGGCAAAGGCGGTTCAATCTCCAGTGCTGGGGGGAAAAATAGAGCATGGCATAGTAGTACACACCTGTAATCTCAGCTACGCCAGAGAATGATGTAGGATTGTGAATTAGAGATCAGCCTGGACTACATAGTGAGAGCCTGTGTCAAAGAACAAAAACAAGCTAGGGACATGGCTCACTGTTTGCTTAGAATGTTTGAGTCTATGAGTTTGATCCCCAGCACCACAAACAAAAAACAAAAGAATAAAGTAATAGATGGGAAATGGTGGCACAGGCTCTCATCCCAGCACTCTGGGCAACAGATAGGAGAATTGCAAATTCAGACCTAACCTGAGTAACTTAGCAATTTAAGAGACACTTTGTTCTACAAAAATTTAAGGGGCTGGGAATATAGCTCGGTACCAAGGCACTGTGCTCAGTCCCCAGTGTGAAAAGAATAAACAGCTAAACTGGGTGTATGTCTGTAATCCCACCACTTGGGAGGCGGAGGCAGGAGAATAGGGAGTTAAAGGTTGGCCTGGAGTATGTATTGAGACCCTGTATCAAAAGAACAATGAAAGAAAGAAAGGCGGGAAGGCAGAGAGAGAGAAAAGAGAAAAGAAAGAAAAAAGGTGGGTGGGGGTGTAGCTCAGCATTTTCTGGCTTCAAATTCAAGTACTAGGTGGGGAAAAAACCCAAACAAATCTGTCTCACTGACCTAACTGTCAAGTTAGTGTGATGACAACACCTGTAATCCCAGCACTTAGCAGGCTGAGGCAGGAGGATCATTGAGAGTTCGAAGGTAGACTAGATTATATAGGCAGACCCTGTCTCAAAAAAAATAACTGTTATGGGATCAGTTTACATGTTATGAAGGTGTCACAGGCTAGACAGTTTTAAATTGGTGGCATCCTTTTTGAGGGGAGAATTGGTAGGGAGAGATGCTTGTGCTTGTGGAAAAGTATATTTAGCCTGAAACTCTTACTTATGAAAGCACTAATTACTTTTGTTGACTGTTTTTCTTGTAGTACCTCTTTGAAAATGGAAGGGTAGATGACATTTTCTCTGATCTTTACTATGTTCGATTCACGGAGTGGCTTCATGAAGTTTTGAAGGATGTTCAGCCGCGGGTCACTCCACTTGGTAAGTTCCTCTTGTCTTTGGTATTCTTTTCTTTCTTTTTTTTGGGGGGTGGTACCGGGGATCGAACTCAGAACCATGCAGTTGTGAGGTAAGGCATAGCACAACTGACCTACGTTCCTGGCCTGACCTATGTTCCTGGCCCATCTTTGGTTTTTTCTCACTTGGGTTTTCAAAAGATGAGCAGCTTCTGTGGCTGGCTATGTTTATAGTGTGTAGTCAAAGGGCTTATAAATCCCAGACAGTAGTGTTGTCCTCTGTGTTGCTTTTTTCGCCAGAGACTCCTGTTGGTCTGGCATGGCAAGGACACTGGAGTGTACAGGACTAGTAGGGCAGTTATGTGGTGTTTTTTTATTGTTTGTTTTTCCTATTAAAATCTGTTATTAAGGGCCAGGGATTTACCTCAGTGGTTCCTCCGCCTGCCTTGCAAGCGCAAGGACCCAAGTTGGACCCCCAGTACCAAAAAATCAATCAATCAATCAATCAATCTGTTATTAAAATCAGAATCACAGCCAGTCACAAGTGCTTATATCTACAGTCCCAGCTGCTGGGAAGACTGAGGCAGGATGATCACTTGAGTTCTGGAATTCAAAGCTAGCCTGGAAATCAGAATGATGCCTTATCACAAAAGAAAAAGAAAAAAAAAGAATCATCATGCTCGCTTTCGCAGCATATATGCCAAAAAGAATCATCACTTACTGAATTAGGTGTGGTGGTGCCCTTCTGTAATCCCAACAGTTGGGGAGGCTGAGGCAGGATGATTGCCATGAGTTTGAGGCCACCATGGGCTACATGATGAGTTTGAGGCTAGCCTGGAATACATAGTGAGACCCTATTGCAAAACAAACAAATGATTACAGTTGTTAAGAATTAAGAGGTAGCGGGCCAGCATTTAGCTCAGTGGTTCTACTGCCTGCTAGCAAGGACCCGAGTTCAATACCTGTACCAAAAAAATCAGTAACAAAAATAAAAGAATTAAGAGGTAGGGTGGGCATGGTAACCCATGCCTGTAATCCCAGCACTTGGGGGTCTGAAGCCAGGGAATTTCCACAGCTCAAGGCCAACCTGAACTACATAGCAAGACCCCGTCTCTCTCAAAAAAAAAAAAAAAAAAAGGGCAGGCCGGGGTAGTGCCTCATTCCTTTAATCCCAGCAGTCAGGAGGCATTCAAGGTCAGTCTGTCCTAGTGAATTGAAGCCCAAACTGAACTATATCCTATTTTTAAAAGTCTCCCACAAAAATCAAACTAGGGCTGGGGATTTAGCTCAGTGGTTCCGCCACCTGCCTTGCCAAGCACAAGGTCCTGAGTTCGTTCCCCGGTACCAGAAAAAAAAAATTCATTTTCTTAAGTTACAAGCAGTTTCCTTTTTTTTTGGAACAAAAGGCTTTCAGTAAAATAAGACTTGGGATTAATTTTTGTTTGGGATTAAATTTTATTTTATTTTTTTCCCCTTGAGATGCTGGGGTTTGATCTCAGGGCCTTGTATATATTAGCAGGTACTTTACTGTTGAATTCCCTCCTAGCCTGAGTATTAATTTTTTTGTTTTTTATGCAACTTTAGATGTCCAAAAATTAAAGTACAGATAATTCTCTATGCTCTCTTGCATAAGCACCCTCACATAGTTTCCTCTCATTAATTAGCACATTACTTTGATTTGCTGAGCATGGTGGTGCACACCTGTAATCTCAGCACTTGGGAGACTGAGGCCAGTGGATTTTGACAAGTTCGAGGCCATTCGCGGCTCCTGTATGTTGTTTTTCATGGCTTAATAAGTCATTTCTTTTTATCACTGAATAATATTCCATTTTACAGATATAACAGTGTGTGTATTCATTTTGTTGAAGGACACTTTATCTTGTTTGCTTCCAAGTTTTTGCAGTTGTGACTAAAGATGTTATAGTGGTAGCCGGGCGTGGTGGCGCATGCCTGTAATCCCAGCACTTGGGAGGCTGAGGCAGGAGGATTGCTGTGAGTTCAAAACCAGCCTGAGTCTACATAGTGAGTTCCAGGTCAGTCTCATCTATGTAGTGAGACCCTGTCTCCAAAAAAAAAAAAGATGCTATAGTGGTGGCTTATAGACCCAGCACCTGTGAGGCTGAGGCAAAAGTGTCACTTCAGACTAGGAGTTCAAAACCAGCCTGGGCAACATAGCAAGAACCCTGTCTCCAGGGGGGTCGGGGGGGAAAACCACAAAATTTTTAAACTTATGTTTTGTGAAAAATATAATTAATAGAATGAAAAGTCAAGCTGCAGACTGGGGGCAGAAATCTTTACAAAACACATACCTATATGGGCCAGGGATTTAACTCAGTGTTGCTGCAACCTGCCTTGCAAGTTCAAGGTCCTGAGTTTGATCCCAATCCCCCCAAAAAAACCCCAAACATACAGCTGTCAAGGTCTAATATCAAATACTTTCTAAGAATTATTCTTTTTTTTTTTTTTTTTTTTTTTTTTTTTTTTTTTTT